AGCCTACATGGTCATTTATCGTACTCTCAGCATCGCAATAAGAAGGTTAGTACTTATTTTTTGATCATTATTGTATTTATATGTTTATGATTCTTGTTCTGGGTGGCACATCTTGCAGTTATGGTGTGCCGAAATCTTTTAAAGTTGTTTTTTTACAGGTTTTGATTTTTGGATTATATGAAAAATAAGTCGTTATGCTGCCGAAATTTAGTTAGGAAACCATAATTTTAATAAGTTCATTAACACACTTTTGTCTGCTATAGACAATTGGGCGAACATGCATCGTCGCGGGGACTCTTGGGTTAATACCCATGCGGAACAGACTTTCGTAAGTATTCTTACTTTTCTTATTAAATTTTTTTATATTTAAATAGTGGTTTTATATCACGTAAAAATAATTATAATGTCTTATTATGTAGAACACTCTGGAGGAGGAGAGACATAGAACACAGACTACTTCAAGTGTGACTAGACCCTCCCTTGACGAGCATGGGGTTTTGGAGCAAGTTCTTGACATGCGTAGAGGACATAAGAAAGGAGTGGGTCTGATGCTCTCCCAAAAGCATTACTCCGGGGCTTCTCCTTCATCTGCTGGTTCATTCTCAGACGCAACATCATCGGCTTAACCTGACGCGCGTATGGATCGTTATTTAAAGAAATCGTACCGGGAACAAATGAAGAATTATGACCATCAGGTGAAGATGTTAGAGTTGGTGTCTAGATTGCAGCCCAACATCCAATTACCTACGATTACTCGTCCAGAACCAGTTAACCTAGACGCGCCTCTGCCTCCTTCAGATGATGATAGTTCTGATGATGATTCAGCTGTTGGCGATGCTGCAAACCTAGAGGAATAGTTCTGTTATATGTTCTGTATGATTTTTCACTTTATTTAGACTTTTATATTTTGTTGAACATTATATATGCACTTCATGTAGTATTCATAATATATTTTATAAATTTATTTAGATTTATTGTTTTTAATATTAATTTATATTTTATTTTTAATGTATCTTAATAAATTATATTTAGTATGTAAATAATAATGTTTAATTAAAATTATTAAAAATTAATTAATTGTCATTTTTTAAAAAATTGTAAAAAAAAATTATTTCAGTTTTTGCGACGACATTTTTATACTTGTCGTCGCAAAAAAATTTAAATTATTTGCGACGACTTTTTGAAATTATCGTCGCAAAAAATATTATATCACGACAAATTAACCAACGGCGTATTTGCGACGACGGTCGTCGCAAAAGAAAAATGTCGTCGTAAATGTATTTGCGACGACACTATGTCGTCGCAAATAAAGTATTTGTGACTATTTTTTTGCAGCGACATATCTGCGATGACATGTCGTCGCAAAAACTAGTATTTGCGACGACATTGGGGTTTTTGCGACGACTTTTTGTCGTCGCAAAAACCCCTTTTTCTTGTAGTGCTTGCATAATTAAGCATAGGATGCTGCTTACTTTAGGGTTGCTCATAAGCATGCGAGATTGCACGCTAATGACAATCGACACTTAGAGTTGCTCGTAAGCATATGAGATTATGCGCTAATGAGAATCGACACTTAGGGTTGCTCGTAAGCATGCGAGATTACGCGCTAATGAGAATCGACTGTTGCTTGCTAGCAACTAGCTAGCTCATGGAAAAACAACCTCTCTAATTAAGCCATCTCCTCTTCCATGTTGCATAGTCCCCTCATGAGAACAACATTAAGCCTCACATGTTAAGGAGCCGTCAATAAAAGACCATTGTGAGGACAATTCCCCCACAACGAAAAACCTCAACAGTCAATAGCGCATACGAGGTTGCTCGCTGGCTAACGCGCAATTCTCTTCAGCATTCAGGGTTTACAAGCACCATTCAGGGTTTACAAGCACCCTAGCAAGCAAGCTACCCCGCATAATTAAGCATAGGATGCTGCTTACTTTAGGGTTGCTCATAAGCATGCGAGATTGCGCGCTAATGAGAATCGACACTTAGGGTTGCTCGTAAGCATGCGAGATTACGCGCTAATGAGAATCGACTGTTGCTTACTAGCAACTAGCTAGCTCATGGAAAAACAACCTCCAATGTTCAGCTAGTTATATGCAACAATAAGGAGAACTTTAGCCATGACAATACATGACTTTTAAATATCAAGGCATGACATCGATCCACAATCTCAGGATGATGAGCATATAGTGAGCTATGGATATTAATTGATCTGAAATGGAGGACATGGGATGAACAGCAAACGAAAATTTTCAACAGTGGCGGAGTCAGGAATTTTGTTCAGTGGGACGCGTGATTAAACCGAAATTTTTGTACTAAAACTTTAATGTAGTAATTTTTTACCTTTATTTATGTATTTTCTTCTTTTTAAGCTAAATGAATTAAGCTTCTAATAAAGTTAGTTTTTTCTTTAGAATTAATAGAGTAAAATTTTAAAGTCTAAAAACTTGTAAATTTATATTGTAGTATAGTTGATTTTCTTTAAAAAAAAAAAATTATGAAGAAATGACAAATAAAAAATTTTGAGTGGGGGCAAATAAAGAGAAAAACGTCACACATTTAAGTATTGGGGCAAAATTATAAAGGAAATCTTTGGACCCAGTGGGGGCAGCCTAACGTAGCTCCACCAGTGAACATAAAGACTCCTATAAATAAGAGAACGATAGTACTAAGTGAGGATTCGGGGTTTATTTTTCTTTTACAAGACTTTACTTTCTCTTATTCATATATATATATATATATATATATATATGTTGAGAGACTTTGTAAGGGTGAGTTCAAGAGTGTAATATTAAAAATTCAATGAAAAGTTCACCAACCAACCATTGTAGACGTACAAGCTGCATTGAGCCGAACTATACTCTAAATACTCATGTTTCTCCTTTTACATTAATCTCATTGATGGTTTTATGTGAAATAATTAATGGGTATGAGATATTGGCCTTAATTGATCGGATTGTTTGGAGTTTGTAGGCTTTGAGTGTTATAAGGTAATAGGACACGTTGGGAAAAAAAAAAAAAAAAAAAAGGGATGAAAAGTCTTTTTGTTTAGACTCCATATGAAAGGGAAAATAGTGGGGACTATAGGAAGTAGTGAATGGGATTTTTATTGCATACAACGGAAGCATGCTTGCCTATATTTATAGGCTTGACAAGTCGGCGGAATAAGAGTAATCGACTCTAACCTTGTGGTTGATGTCAAATTGTTTAGAAAATTCTGATTCTACAAAATATTAACCTTACGTTTTTTTCCTTGTTTCCCAAAGTATTTCTACAATAATTCTAGAATGTGCATCATTATTTTATCACTCATTTATACATGTTTATGTTTATTTGATATGTTCAATCAAGTTTCGCTTTAGAATCTTCCAAGACTGACAGATTTTGACGCCAATAAATTAATATAAAATCACGTAACAATATATATGTATATAATATATATATATATGCGCAAATTTAATCTTAAATCCCATGAAACAGGTATCCGTAACAATATATATGTATATAATATATATATATATATGCGCAAATTTAATCTTAAATCCCATGAAACAGGTATAACTGCCAGAAACAAATCAACAGCAAAAAACAAAAATAATAATAAGAGAAAAAGTTGATATATAAGATTCAATCATGAGGATCAAAATCATAGAACAGATCAAACATTTGCATTATTAGTAGTGAAAAACGTCCATATTTTTCTAGAGCATAACTGAGTTGCAAACAAGAGAAAACATATATATTACATATATATTTTCCCTAAACTATTTCCATGATGATGGCAGTGCCTTGTAAATGCCACTACAGAATGACACTTTGAAGGTTATTTATGATCTCTTTACGTATCATTAACTCGGCACCTTAGACAGTCTCTGCCAATCCAGCTTGCCTTCTTAACTGCAACAAATATAATAAAAATCCAAATAAGAATTCAAATATCAATTAATCACGAGATAATTAGTTAAATTATATTAATTACAGGGCGTGCAAATGGAAAATACCTTGAAATAAGTCTCAAGCTGGGTCCTTAAAGTCTCATGCTCTTGTTTCACTTTCTGAAAAGCCCTTGCGCATCTGGAAATTAATTCATGCATCACTTATTAATATATATATACTAGAACAGAAACAAGAAGAGTACTTATTAATAACATCATACATATGGTTTTTCTGGGTCCCTTCAGTAGGTTCCTCTCTAATGTAACACGTAGTTATGAAAACGTAACATGACAATTATTAAAGATAACATCAATATTAAAGAGAAATAATATCAAAGAATTTATTCATCTAAAAATTATGTTACTTTTCTAAAACACCAATGTTATATTTAATAATTATGATGTTGCGTTTTTATAATTATGAATTACTGAAGATAAAGTCTCATATACGTATTCAGAGGTGGAGCCACCTGCCCCAGGGCCCAAGGGGCTCCTTTGAAATTTGGCCCAAAAAGAAGATGCTTTATAATTTTGATTGCAATTTTACACAATTTTTCTAAAAAGTTTCTATTCTCCTTCAAATTTTAACTGTTAAGTTTACCCATATTTTATTATTTATTAACAAATTTTCACTTATACCTTAAAAATTGACTTTTAAATATACTTATAAATGAAATTTAAAACCTCAAATAAAAAATCAACTACACTACTATATAAATGCATAATTTTGTAGATATTGGGCTTTAAAAAGTTAATTGGACTCAATTATAAATGTGATTCATTTGAAAAAAGAAAGAAAAATAATAAATATATAGAAGTAGATAATAAAAGAGAAAAAGAGTTAAAAAAAAAAAGTCAAAATAGAAGTTTCAGTTTAAAATTTTGGCATTAATCCCGCCTCCTGAAAATTTTTTTGGCTCCGCCACTGTATGTATTATATTATATATATGTATGTATGTACTATATAACACATTATATAATAAATAGATATATGTCCAATTTACCCCTCAGCATTTCCTGCCAAACAAAATTCCTTGAATTGATTGCATTCATTCTTGACCTTTATAGCTCCAATACTGCAAGAAATTTATTACCCTCTATGAGCACACTGTAGCAACCATTTTCTCATTCTAGTAATTAAAAAAAAAGTGAGCACAAATTAAAGAATATGCGCAAGATCAAATATATATATATATATATATATATATATAAAGTACCTGGAGGTACTACCCCTAAACTGGTGCATGTAATTATCCAGCTTAGCGAAATCAACGGGTCTACTCTTCCTGCATATGTAGATAAAAAATGAACAGATTGAAAAATATGCTTGACAATATATAAATATTAATATACTTGATTTGTATATATTTATATATATATATATGATAGATGACCATGACACATGTATATCCTTTAATTTATACTCACAGTGCCTGTTCTATGTTGTGGAAAAGTCTGGCCGAGTCTTTATAAAACAATGTTACAATTTCCTCCACAAAATTAGGATTAACATCGTCCTGCAAATCCTCCAATTGAAGGAATTGTTGCTCATCCAGGTAACCCTGCAGCCAGATTCAGTATCTCTCAAATTAATCGTTAAAATCATAAAAGAAATAATTAATCAAAAAATTTTAGAAACCATATATACGTTTGTTTTTTTTTTTTTTTTTTTTCATTTTCTTTTGGGGTTAAAGACGTCTTTTAACTATTACGCTAAGATTTAACCATATATGTGGACTTTTGTTATTAATACTCCCATTATAATTAAAGGGCCCTAATTGTATTAAACTCCTTAGAGATTGTAAAAGGAAAATAGATTTTACCTCAAATTGCAAAGCTATTTAGCCTTGAGAACAATTAAATAGTTTTGTTGGGAATAATATGAACCAAGATAGCCATATATAAGCATGGAATAAGGAGCTTCCATGCACGAATAAATGTCGTTTTTAGTCTTGTATTACACTCAAAAGGGAAAGGCTAAATTAGGCGATGAAGTGAAAAAGTGGATACAAGGATATGAAGCATGAGAGAATAATCGGTTTTATGATCAGTTCCATATATTTCATATATAATAAAAACTAAGGCCATATTTGGTTGCCTTTACCAATATTCCTAGCTAAGGCTATCATGATACTTTTTAGCTTTTGGTTCATACAAAATTTTATTCCGTGTCCTTGTCCCAAAAGAAACAACAATAAAAAGTTATTCCCCCACTAACTACGTTTTTGCCTTGCGACAAAAATTTCTTTAATGAGTGCGCAGAACAATGATCAATGCCTATGACACCAATCACATGTTTTGAGATCATAGTTACCACCAATAATTGTGACTTGGCGTTTTTTACTTGCACGGCCAATATATGCAAACGACAACAAACCCATGCCCACGAAGTTAGGTTTTCAACTTCAAATCACTTGGCTATTAGATGTGAAATTAATTACCCGTAACGTAACGTCTACAAACGTGACACGTTCATCAGTATCCTTTACCCTTTTTTTATGAGATAAAAAATACATTCACTTTATTCTGAACCCTCAAATCTATATTAAATTCAGCCAATTGTACATATATTTTGGTTTTCGCATAATTTTGATTAAATTTAACGTGATTTTAAAGCAACAATAATAACCTACCACAAGCAATTTCAAAGATGGTAAGGAAGGATTAGGAACCTGTTCAATCAGGGAACTCCTCATTAGAGCAACCTGGCGTTGCAACTGATTTCTGTCCATCTTTAGTTGAACTGACCCAAAAAAAAAAAGAAAAAAAAAATCTGAGAAAATAGAAGATAATGACAGCGAATAGTTTTAACTGTCCTGAAAAGGAGCAAAGAAACTCATATATTGCTTTACATGATACTGCAACATGGCAAGCCAAGATTTATATAGGGGCGTGTTGAGGAGAAATTGAGAGAGATGATAGATGGTGACAAGGAGAGGAAAAAAAAAAATCAAGTGTGTACGTGTCAAGTTTATGTATCACACTTGTCTTTCAACTTTGATGTTATAAGAGGATATGCATGAACGTAAGTTAGGATTTTCAATTTAACAAAAAAACGTCATCTTGGCTAATTAAAACCATGAGAGCTTAATTATGCTTTTGAGGAATGGAACTTTAAGAGCATGCTTGCTAAAGGGTTTCAAACCTCAATTCATATGGTTCTCTTACAGTTTTTTTTTTTTTTTTTTTTAGTTCAAAATTCTAGTTTAAACCATAAAATATACGGTCCCTGAGTCAGTTCACAATAGAGATACTATTTTTCTCTCCTCATAAAACTCGTGGAATATTGTGTTAAAGGCACGATTAATAAAGAAAAGCTTCCAACAAGTATAATTTGACAGCTAATTTGACTATATACCTTTTTAAGAGGTGGTTGTTGGTTTTTACCATTTTATTTCATTTTCTTTGATTCATACGACTTCAAGTGGTATAAAGTCTATATTACACTTCATTTATATCTAAATTCCTAACCCTTTAATTAATCACTGATTAACTCCAGTTAATCAATGATCAATTATATCTTATTGTTTGGGGTAAAATTATCTTTCTGTACATTAAAAGTGATTTGTTTTAAATTTTTCCACGGAGAATTGAATGACACTGCCATTTCTTATTCTCGTAATTGATCCCATAATTTGAACTCAATATATTCGCTCCCCAAAAGTGCAACGGCAGACAACTTAGAGGCCTTCCCAAATTAACTGAAACTATTATACTATTGAGCTATTCAGCAACTGCTTAATTATATCTTATGTTGGGACGTTTTATACTCTCATTACGTGTGAAACTCACTAGAGCAGTGAAGTCTTAAAAGCACATGTTGCTTCGTAATGCATGACATGTCAATATTTTTTTAGTTATATGGATCTTATCAGCTGAATTCTTTGGCGTACACTAAAGATTTTCATCAAATTCCGCAAATTTGTCAATTGTTTGATTCTTAGTTTTCCATTTAGACCTCTCTTTTACCTATGACTAGCAATATGAGTAGAGACACGACTCGAAACCCGCACGAAGTTAGTGAGTTGAATTTACTATAAATGGATTTGAATCATAATCGGATTGACACGATTAACACGATTAATAAATATGTTAGGTTAGGATTGACCTCCTAATATAAAGTGATACGAATTGACACGATTAACTATATGTGTCATCTGCAATCTAATGATATCTATAAAAATTTATATGACATATTAAATATAAATAATGATTAATTTCAAAAATCCCCCCTGAATTATGACTCTTGTAACACTTTCTTCTCTGAATTTTAAAACGTAACATCCGTTCCCCTCAAATTTTGTTCTGTTAACAAGTTTTCTCCTTCTGTTACAATGAGTGACGAAATTGCCACGTGTCACTTATTTAATAAGAATTAAAAACGTAATTACACTTATACCATCTAATCAAATAATTTCCCATTTTATTGAAAAAATTCACCATCTTCATTCCCCATTTTCCTTCTTTTTTTCATCATTTTGTTCCCCATTTTCTTTCTTTTTTTCCTCATTTTGTTCCCCATTTTCCTTCTTGGGATTCACTTTATCCCAAGTTTTCCTCACTCCCTCTCCTTCACTTCCGCATCTCTCTCTCTCTTCCCTCAAACCTTGAACCGTTTTTCCAAGCAAAAAGCACATAGAAAGAAAATGAACATGGACGCCATTGCAGGCACAAGGAGACCTTGTTTCATCGAAGAAGATGACGGTCTGGCCTCCCTAGCAGACATGGAGCATAGATTCTCTGGCAGCCACCACCACCACGTGTTTTACTCTCGGCCTCTATATTACTTGTAGCGGAGCAGCTTCAGGAGCCTTCCAACGACGCCGTTTTCCTCCTTCTTTTCTTCTTCGTCGTCGTTTTCGCCCAGATCAGGCGGCGCGAAGTTCTACGACGCTAGGTTTGAAGAGCACCAGCCCCATTTCCTCGAGGCTTGCTTCCTCTGCAAGAAGCCTCTCACTGATAACAAGGATATTTTCATGTACAGGTTGATTTTCTCTCCAAGTTTTGTTCTTTTCGTGTTTGATTTTGAATCTATAGGGGGAGAGGAGTTAGAAAGAGACAGTTTATTGGAGAGAGACATAGAGATGCTTAATGGTGATGGAGAAGGCCATGAATTCGCATGCTCTGTATCTGGATTTGATTGTGAGCAATTCGTGGTGCAAGTTAATTTACGATAATACCCTATTAAGATGGGACATGTGCCTGACACGTGACAAATTCCGTCACTCGTTGTAATAGAAGAAGAAAACTTGTTAACGGAACAAAATTCGGGAGGAACAGATGTTACGTTTTAAAATTCAGGGGACAAAGTGTTACCAGGGTCATAGTTCAAAGGAAATTTTTGAAATTAATCCTATAAATAATGTGAATTTTAATAATTGTAAGTAAAATTCATTTATTTTTCTTAAGGAAAAAATAAATTGACCAATAAACATGTTAAATCTGTCTTGATTGTGTTAAATAAGTCATTATTATATTAGTTATTTATTAACTAATGAACATGTTAAACTTGTCTTGACCGTGTTAAATAAGTCATTATTAAATTAATTATTTATTGACTAATAAACATATTAAACATGTCTTGACCATGTTATATAAGTCATTATTATATTAGTTATTTATTTAATATATTAATTTAAACAGATTATAGGGGTTGACACGATTAACACGATTAATAAATGAGTAGTGTTTGAATTGACATTTTTTACACCTTTAATAAATAAATCATATTTAGATTGACATTTCTAACACGATTAATAAACAGATTGACACAAACACGAATGACCACCTTTACTTTCACCCTATTGATACCCCATAGAAACACAAATCGTTTAGTTTGCTGATTTGAGTTTTTAATTCGAGCTGAGATGTGACTTTATGTGAGTTTTTTACTGTAGTAAAAAAATTAAATATGACTGTTTGTAAAAAAATTTTACTGTAATAAAATTGAAATTCTAAACTCAAATCAGTAAAATAAACAGGTACAAATAACTCCAAAGTAAAGCAAAAATGCTCAATTAAAGTCAACCCATTTCACACCATAACTTGACCTGGAGCGTGGCACGCGGACGATGCTCGAGAGAGCGCCCAAGCTCACCTTGCGCTGCCATGTTGCAGACAATGTCTACACTGTCGCTGTGCCCAACCATTATTGGAATCTTGAGCACCCTTACGTGGCAGCCAAGTGTAGGACTCAGAATCCCAAATTAATTTGATATACGGATTCCTTCTCCCCCCTTCTTTTTCTCCCATCATGTGAGACAGACAGCTGAGTTTCCTACGTCTTTTCTCCAACCCAACAAATGAAAGAATCTTCCTTTAGAAAATGCTAAATATCATTGGCGTCGTAGCTCCTCTGAAACAATGTATGGGGCGCAAAGTGCATGTCAATCGATAATTGATTAAAATCAACAAAGATACATATCACTGCACTTTTTTCATGGCTTCTGCACAAGGATGACACGCAAATCAAGAAAATATGTTTAAAGCCTTCTCGTGGACGTTTAGCTTATATATTCAAAATCATGATTTAGAATCATTCTCGTTTTACGTATATTTTTTGTGAGAGAAAACACTGTAAAAAACCATAAATTATGATTCAGAATCAGAAACGAATATAGGAAACAAACGTCGAGTTATGTTGCAGATCCTTTTATGAACTAAGCAATGCAAAGTCAGAGAAGGTCGATACGACTGTATGATTTTGTAATAATTCAAAGTTGAATCCTACAAAAACAAATCGTAAAGCAATTGTAAAAAGATAAACTACATTTGAGATGGACACAACTCGAGCATTATGCGCATACTGGTAACGGTTCTTTATGAAATTGAACCACGCTCGGGAGTCACATATAAGTCAGGATTAATCATCTACCTTTCACAACTCAAGGCGTACTAGTGACACCATAGATAAAATTACCCAACTGCTCAGAAAAAAGTTATTGGGTGCGTTTAGAATTATTTTTCGGTTATTTTCAAAAACATTTCTGCACATTTTTTGAGACATGAAAACAAAAACGGCTTACAAATCGCGTTTGTTTAATAAAAGTTTTGAAAATTGAAACAAAAACAAAAAACAATAAGCATGATTTTTGTGAAGAAAGTAGAAAACGATTGAAAGTTATTTTTCTTTTCTATTTTCATTTTATAGTACTTATCGCAATGTTATATTAAATTATTATTTATTTATTACTAATTATATTATATATTAATTAATAATTAATAAATAGATATACTTAATAACTAATAAATAGATAGTAATTACTTAATTATTAATTAAATATTAATTTATTACTATTAAGTTTTTAATTTTATTAATAAAGTAATAAATAATATAGTAATTAATTATTTAGTTAAAGATTAATTGTCAAAAATTAATTATATAACATATTAACAATAAAATGAGTAATAATAGGTTATTAAATAAATAATTAATAATTAATATATCAATCATATATTATGTTAATTATAATCTATTAATTAGTAAACAATTGGTATATAAAAATAAATAGTAATTACTCAATTAATAATTAATATTAAATTATAATTATCAATATGTAATATACTAATCAATAATAATTGATAATTAGTAATTAATCATTATAAAAAGAATAATTACCAAAAATTGATCATGTGACATATTAAGTGATAGATTATTAAATAAACATTAGTAATTAATTAACTAATTATTTAATTATGTAACTAAAAAGTTAATAAATTAAGTAATAAATGGAATATTAATAAATTATGCATATACTAATTATTTTTCTTAATACACTAATTAATTACTTATAATCTAATAAATATGAGTACATTACTAACATATTAATTACTTATAATTAATTACTAATTACTATTTTTTAATTATTTAGCATATTAATTTATTATATATAATTTAATTACTAATGTTCTCATTAATGATAATTTATCCATTACTATTATATTATAAATATATTAATTTTTATTTGCTAAATCATTATTAATTATTAATTGCTTAATATATTAATTTAAGATTATTAATTACATGTACTCAAAACAAACATAAATATAACCAAACACGATTTTACTTTTTTATCATATTCAAACCAATCTCCTGAAAGACCACCAAACGTAATTTCAGAATCAGTTCCAGAATGATTTTCAAAACAATCTCATTTTCATTTTTGTACTGAAAACAAAATCATTTTGAAAACATTACCAAACATGCCCATTATGTTTTACAAAGAAATGCCTAAAACCTCAAGTAACAATTTGTTTAAGTAAAACAAGCTTACATGCTAAAAGGATATTACGAGTAAAAATCTCAATGTACATATAGAACTGTGATTATTAGCTTTTAAAATAGCAGAGCTAAATTTTGATAATTGCCTGTTCTTTGCTTCCACATTTCTTTAAATAAATAAATAGATAAATAATGCCAAAAGGAGAAGAAGAGTAGAGAAGTACTCACTTTATTCGCTTGGCGCATACTTGAGAGTGGGAGACTGAGAACAACATGTTTTACAGAGGCATTGACCCCTCACTCTCTATCGTTAATTTCTGCAGATGCGTGGTCACATCTTCTCTTTTGTAAAAGGCACAAAAGTTATAGGTGGATGGAGCCAGATGAGAATATGAATTCACATTTTGTACCAATCATTGCATAGATTAATATTCTCTCGCTATCGCTTTCTCCTATGTTGATAAGAATCCCACCGCATACATGATAAACCTTACATATTATCCGAAATTTTCTCTATATACCATATCTGTGGGTTCCAAGACAAAAGTTAACGACAATGCAACGGCCAAAAATACAAAGCAAATGAGGAAAAATGGAAAAATTACTTTAAGACTGGCTCAACTCAATTGAACAAACTTTCTAGACCCTTTTTTTCCCTCCCCCTTCTTTCTTGGAGGGAGTATTGTAAAGAAGAGTGGATGAAACTTCCCTCTCACATCATCAGTTACCGAATGATTCAACATTTTAATCCACAGTAGTGTTTTTCTGTTTAGAAAGGGCCAAGGACGGAGATGCCTCTAAGATTAGACTAAATGGAATTTGGGGTAAAATCTGCCGTGTCCTGTGTTTCTCAGGAACCTCTGTCTGACTCAACTTGTTATACGGTTAATTGGTTACTATTGGTTAGCAACAAAGTCAGCTTTCACTAGGTCTAGAAGAAACACATTAAGAACTGCTTGGTTACAATTCTACCCAGAACACCTGACGTCGCTAAGAGTGACGAAGGGAAGCATGCTAGCCAAAGATGACCTTCAATTATTTCTAGCCAAGTAAATGCTAGCGCATAAATTGAAAAATGAAAACAAGATTCACAGAAATGGAAAATCCTAATAATATTAAAGAAGGGCAATATACCGAGTTGAGTGAACAATAAGATATAAAAAGTGCACCTCTCTGGAAGGAGGTAACTCGATCAATGAATTTGTGGGCCTTCCAACTATTCTCTTTTCCCTCTCCTCACGAATATGCTTGGTTTTATGCGCCCAAAAAATTGTGGGCTCTGATGGATCCTCCAAAAGTTTTAAGGTTGTTGTCTTACTAGCCTTTTCAGATGAATTTTCCTGCAGCATAGGTTCTGTTCATCTCCGCAAAAATCCCATTGCCTGGTAGACATTATCAAGAGTAGAATCTGCTATATCTGAAGCTTTGGCAGCACCTTCAGCCAAAATTCTATCCAAATAAGCTGAATCAGAAGTGATTTCCTCGTAGCGAACCTGGAAAGTAGAAGCCCAAATTGTGAAAAATTGACATTTTTAAGGGTTAAAAAAAGGAAAGGAAGCACACTTGACAATGGGAAACAGAAAGATCTACAATAATAGAAGAATAAATGACGACATGGATATTAAAGATTCTGAAAAGAAACAATTATCTTTCTAGACCTGTTAACAGGACAGGCCAGCCAATAACATGATTGGGAAATAAATATCGCAACACATACTTAATTATACAAGCATATATGAGAAATAGAGAGGAAAAAAATCCAGGGTTTGCTTGTACAACAAGTATTGGCATTTAAGTGTTAGGACTTTGATGCAAAATGAAAGAAAAGGAGACCACATGACACTATTTTAACAAAGCCACATTTCTTAAAAAAACATGTCCAACGTGATAAAAATGAATAATCGTTCGGCTTTTTTTTTTTTTTTTAAATGAATGAGAGATCAGCTAGTATTAAAGGCCCATGACACATCCCAGTATGTTGGTATCGACCAAGAAACCCAATCCCACAACAAGATCCCGACTCAAAATTTATTAAAATCTAATAAAAAAAAAAAGTTTCATAACAAAAAGTAAATCCAGCTAGAAGGCAAGTAGTAGGTTTCAAGTTCAAGTGTTGGTGCTCTGAAGAGTACTCCAAAGTTCAAGAAGATTGTTTTTGTTCTCTTTCTTTTGATTTCTTTTGTAGCTTTTCAAAGTTAAAAAGGAAGGGAAAAAAAAAAAAGGAACAAGCTTAGTAGCAGCATTTGCAGTGCTTGAGATAATTTTAGGCTAGGTATATTCCCTTTGGCAATACAATTATGGTTTAGATAATATGCAGTTTCTTAATATAAACTTTTTAAAAATGTAAAAAAATTAGGGTTACAAATTCATCTCAGCTTAGAAAGAAGTGCTTCTAACTGTATAAAAAGATTAGTTCTGACACGGAAAGCATATCGGAAGAAGGGGTGAGAAAAGAAGACTGATTTCATGACATAAACTATCCGCAGAAATAAGATAAAAGGCCACCACAATATCAGCTAAAGAGTGAGAATCTGTTGTTTCCTATGGGTTTTATCAAAATTCAGTCTAAGAATCTTATAGACCGGAAATTTGCAACTGTAAGGCTGGCATTATTATTTTTATTTTTTTTAACAATTTTGAGTTGCCAAATCTAGAAACGCTAAAAGCAATGCCATATTCAAATTATTTGTAGCACATAAAACACGTCATATCTCTCATATGGACAGCTCCACAGAATAGAGAGAAAGAATGCAGGTAAGTTAAACCTGAATGGGATGTAGATGGTCAACCAAGGCATCAGTTAGGACGGATTTAAATGTGCCCCAATTCATACCTTTGCACTCCTGTGCAACTTCCTGTAATAATAATATTGTCAAGAGATGAAGACAAACATTGAATGTAGAATGCCCCTAACATAACCGAAGCTTGTACATACAGCCTATTTTGCATTTATACTTGCTACATTAGTGCTAAAGAGCATTGTGTTTGGTGCACAAAGTTCAATTTTAGGTGATTACTAATTATAACAATTCAACAGAAGCCTTTCCATAATGCTTTGAGAATGGGACAAATATTTTCACTTTTATAACCATATGTGTGTCTGTGTGTGTGGGATCATAATTAATAAATAAAACACACAAATCCACGAAAGCTCCAACTATCAACTGATTGATCTTCAATTTAATATTATATCACATATAAAGGCCTTGTTCGTTTCGTGGATTCGAGTTTTCAATTCGAGTTGAGATGTGACATTTTTTTAGAGCTTTTAACTGTAGCAAAAAAAGTTAAATGTGATATTTTCTGAGAGCTTTTAACTGTAGAAACCTAAAGCTGAAAACTCAAATCGGTGAAATGAACGAGGCCAAAATCTCAACAGATAAATTATTTTTCCCTTAATAAAGTTTCTTGTTTCCTTTCAAAAAAAAATGTATTGTGTCCAAATAAAGTTAAAATCAGCAGTCAGTCATATAGCAGAAAAGCACCAAAAAGAATAAAACTATACATGCATTTAGATACCTCTTTTGTTCTTCCTGAAATGAGCTGATATATTGAAAGAAGATTGTCGCATTCAGGTCTTTCAGGATTGTCAAATTCTAGACTGTAATAATTACCAGCAGACATATAGCAAGATATTATCAGACATTCATAAATTAGTGTATTAAAGAAAGAATGAATTGTAAGCAGGAGAACTGCAATGTAAAGTCACCGAATGTTCAGAAGTTCCAGATTTTGAGTAAAAGATAGGTCTTAACTATGGAAATGAGTCGGTTTTGCAACGCTTTATCTTGTTTGCTATAACCTACAAGAAAAACACACGAATACATCAAGTTGGAGAGGAACATATGTAATCAGGAAACCGGAAAAGTGGAGATATTTATAAGGATGTATTTTTTTACATAAGAAACAACCTTTCATTGATGAAAATCAATTACAAGAGTGAGGACAAATCCCCACAAAAAACAATCAGAAAACAGAAATTGACAGAAATTAAATAAAGCTAACAACAATAAAACAAAAAGAGCAGAAGAAAACATAAAAATCAGCCCCCCTGATACATCTTTCCAATTCAAACAATCAAAGAAAAAGGAAACCGTTAAAAACTTTATCCGTTGATGCCCACAGAGAAGCAGAAAACTTTGTTTTATCAAACAAAACCGCAACCTCTTGTCTCCCTCTCTTCAAAAGTCCTAGCATTTCTCTCCATCTCCAACTCATCCAAAACAGGGAGATGACAATGCTTTTCCACAAAACCCTAGCCATCTTATTCGCTCCAAAACCCACAGGTCTCCCCAAAAAACAATGAATCAGAGTGAGCAGGGGCTGCCCAGAAAAAACTGGCTTCAAAACAGTTTATTCCACAAGCATCTGATCATGTAGGAGAAAGAAACAATTAAGGATTCTTCCTTTGAAACCTTTCACAAGTATTAAGCCTCCTATGAAAAACCAGCCAACGAATTTCTTTAACCCTATAGGGGACAGAAGATTTCCAAATTTAAATGATGGGTTCAAAATTGTTACAATTCACTGCCTCGGTAAGGGAATGAAAAGAAAAAGAAAAAAAAAGATTTTCAAGAAAAACCTGAAGCCCCTTCCTAAATAATCTTGGATTTTTTTATTATCTAATATTGGATTCTTAGGGCAATGTGATTGTAGTGTGTCATTTGATTTGTGCAATAATTGTATGGCGAGTTTTGGGGGTCTTGCAGCTGTAGGAGGTATTATTGTTCTGTTTTTTTATTTTTATTTGAGGATTTCTCATCCTCTCTTACCTTGTTATTGATTCAATTTTTACCAATAAATGTTCTTTGTTTATGATTCAAGGGGGAAAAAAAAAGCCTAGAGAGAAAGAAGCCTGAAGAAACACAGGACCATGATCTTTTATGCGGAATGGAACACCTCAAAGAAAAAGTCTCCAAGGCCAAAATTGGAGGTTAGATCCTCCCACTCTCCATCATTTAAATTACGCCTGAAACAAAAGTTCCAATTACGGCCGTTGCAAGTAGAACGAGAACAAATTTCCCCACTAGAGGTAGATTGGACATCTGAAAGTCTGAATAATCTAGGAAAACTAGTGGTAACAGATTGCACCCCACATCAGTGTCCTACCCAAAAAAGATTATGGGTACGTTTGGAATTGGTTTTAAAATGATTTTGTTTTCAATAAAAAGTAAAAATGAGATTGTTTTGAGAATCATTTTGTGACAGATTCTGAAATTACGTTTGGTTGGTTTTTTAAGAGATTGTTTTCAGTATAATAAAAAAATAAAATCGTGTTTATTAGTTAATATATTATAATATTATTGATAAGTACTAAAAAATGAAAACAGGAAAGTGAAAACAACTTTCAACTGTTTTCTAATTCCATCACAAAAATCATTCTCACTGTTTTCATTTTCAAAACATTTGCTAAACAAATGTTGTTTCGTTTTCATTTTCATTTTTTACTTTTCGAAATACGTGAAAATCGTTTTCAAAAACGGTTCCAAACACGTACTATATTTCTTAACTTCCCATGCCCAAATCCATTTGATGAAATGAAGAAAACTTCCCTTTAACAAACATTTCACAAAGATATTTTCTTAAGCGGTATTGCATAACGAAGAAAGAAGAAACCCCATAGCCCAAAATCTGAAATTGGGAAAGTAAGAGAGAGAAGAAACCCCATGGCCCAAAATCTGAAATTGGGAAAGTAAGAGAGAGAAGAAACCCCGTAGCCCAAAATCTGAAATTGGGAAAGCAATAGAGAGAGAGAAGAAACTCCACACCCAGATCTGAAATTGAGAAAGTAAGCACACTTAGAGTGAGAGAGAGAAAGAGAGTGAAATTTTGAGAGAAATTTTTTCTCAAAATGTCACATTTAACTTTTTTAATACCCTGAGCATCTACACATAAGGTCGAGTCCCAACCTTTAGGATGTAACCATACTTAGGCCTCGTTCGTTTCACGGATTCGAATTTTCAATTTGAGCTGAGATGTGACATTTTTTTAGAGCTTTTAATTGTAGCAGAAAAAGTTAAATGTGACATTTTCTTAGAGCGTTAACTGTAGAAACCTAGAACTGAAAACTCGAACCGGTGAAATGAATGAGGCCTTAATTCTAATGACCTAGCCCACAAAGTGTGTTGCTCCAATGGGAATCTCCATAACCATTTGCCCAAAAATGCTACATTTTTCATTCATAAGTGACAAGTCCCTAAGCCACCCATTTCCTTGGAGTAATACACTTCCCAAAACAACCAAATTGTCAACTCTACCCCCTTTAAAACTAACCTGCAAGAATTCCCTCATGCAGTCATGCTCCACCTAATCCATTTCGTAAACATCTGAAATCTGTCTTCCTTAACAAGCATGCCCTATGCCAAAGAAACCTGTGGCACTGAACCTACCCCCAATCTGTTCGACAGCACTTCAGCCAAAATTTATAGAGACTACTTGCCAAACTTACCAGCCTAAAATCTCACTTTTCTAAATCTCACTTTTCTAGACTCTACTTTCTTAGGAATAAGACACAGGAAAATCTAATTAGTATTATAATTGACCACACCTATCTTATAGAATTCCTCAAACAACCTTTATTGCTCAATCAAAATGACCAGGAAAACATGAACGCCTTAGCAATTGAATTTTAATTTCCCATGCTTGAGGAGATCATGAAGTAACGTTGATTCTTCATCACATGCAGCAACTAACACAAGACAACACCACATTAACCAAGAAGCCTTCAATTCAAGTTCTGAGTGCAGCAATATCAAAGCTTCACACTGAGGAAACCAATGAACAGAACAATGTTGCAGTTCAACTATCCTTGATGTTAATGTTAATTTTAAAACCTTTAATGATGTTAATTTTAATAACCATCTAGTATAGATGAAACAAATTGCACAGGCTTATTATACTCACATCAAGTATAAAACGTTTGGAGGGCTTCAAAAACGGAACAGCACATGTGAAAGCCAAATACTCTAATACTCACATCTTTTGGATCCAGCAGATTGATCCGGGATTGATCAGAAGAGGAAGACTTGGACATCTATAAGATTTGACAAAGAAGATGTCAGTGAGTATTACAAGAAGCTAGCTCTTGGATCTGCATACAAAAATCCTAATGAAAAATCTTACAAATTACTTTTATCTGCCTCTCCAGTCACAGCCTAAAACATTAACGTGACAAAGTTCCTATAATCCTTTTAACTAAGATTGCAAGAAATAAACACGTATTCTTATATGCTAGGGAAGAACTTTAAAGATGAAATTATCCTACAGAAATGATATATCTTCCTAAGCATATTTGGATCACCAAGAGAATAGTTATAGTTGACAGGTATACGCAAACACTCTGTTTATTTTTACCAGTATGAGAATTACTAATTGAGAGATTGTTTTCGTCAGCAGATTGGAAACTCTAGGTCAATCTTCCAGAAGTGATACCAGCTTGGACATTTGCGCCCCTACTAAATATGTTGTGGTCCTATATTTTACTGGTAAACTTATTAACATCAACAAGAAATCCACCACGTTTCCTTACTTTCTCAGAGGCCGAATCACTAATTATTTTTCTTTCCCATTTTCATACTGTCTCTTTCAGCTAAACAATATGGGTTCACTTTACAAATAAAACAACAAGAGACAAAAGAATCAGAAATAAATTATTTTTCATTAGTTACAGGAAAACCTTTTTTTTAATATAATAGTGGTTACAGGAAAACTTAAATAAAGAAAACCACCAAACCTTGGAAAGACCATCAACCAGAGACATGACTCGGGCTCCAGCTGGTGGTATAAGGGGCTCTGGGACCTATTCCAAGAAGACGTTTATATTCATTGTAATGTTTGCAGATTTCAAATCAAGGGCATCATCAACCAGATAACAACAAAGAAATACACCTTAAAAATAGCACCCCCTCGCCTGTAACCAAAATAAAAATAAGAAGAATCATTTTTTAACATAGGTTAAAAAGTTGGACAAAAAAATTAGATCACAACAAACAAATTAAACGTTTCCAATTGAAAGTTATACTTCTTCTCACCCTCCCAATTTCTTCCACTTCCTTCCCCCATATAAATAATTAACACGCTCAGCCAGCTCACGTGTCAACTCTAGATGCTGCTTCTGATCCTCCCCAACTGGCACAAAGTCAGACTGCAAAGGAATGCCGCAAATTAAGAATGATGATGGTAGAGTGATTTATCATCAATAAGTGAACTTTAGTAAGCACACGGAAGTTTTGAGGTTGTTATAAGCATTACTGGCACTACTCTTAGTTGAAGTCAATAATTCATTCTCTTCTGCATAAAGAACTTAAACTTTTAGGATAATCAAATCCAATTACAATAAGCTTACAGTTATGAAGCCTACCTGGTATAAAAGAATGTCAGAAGCCATCAAAACAGGATAAGTTAAAAGAGCAACTCCTACATTTTCATCTCCCTGGGAGTACAAAACAAAAACAAAAAATTAGTTTAATCATAGAAAAAAATTTAAAGGGACAAATCAACAATAAAAGGATCAAACTATTTGAATCAGAGACACATAATGCATACAAAATTCTGGTAGGAACAAATGTAGATGATGGCCATGGCCAAATAAAAAGTCTGGTATGAGAAAAGTGTTATTCACGAGCTTATTCCATAAACAACCAAAAAGCACTTGTTAAAGAGAATGATTTTGTGAGAAGTAATGATGGTATTGAACACCCAGTAAAATTAATTTCCAGAAATATAGCTTGACACCTAAATAAAGTATAATTTCCTTCTGCAGTCTACAAAGTTGAGTGCTTAGTGATTACTCATAACAAAACAGTTATTTGTTTTTGCTTAAGATAATAACTTTATTTTTTTCCAATAACAGAAAAAAAAACAGCTAGTCAACAAGAAACTTCTTCCGCTATTAGAAAATACAGAGTGGAACCTGTCCATAGTCTTTACAAAATTATCATATCAGCATATGCATTAGAAATTATAATTTCAATAAAATTTGGACATGTGAAAAATAAACAGAAAACACTGTGATGGAGTTCTTGTGCAGCTGGAAACACACCGTCTTACGTGATTTCTCTTTAAACTGGATCATCTTGTTAAGCCAACCAACAGGTGTTGCAGAGCTTAATAACCACAGCAACTCAACATGTGCTCGAACATGAGATTGTACAAAAACAGAAGCCTGGAATACAAAATCAAAAAAATGTATAATCCAGTTATAATTTACAAACTTCCAAACCACGGCATAAAGCACAAACAGATGAACCAGACCTTGGATGGGTCCACTCCACAGGCCAAATATATAGCTGCTGTATCCCTTGTTGCCTTGGATAACGTTTTTGGATCATACGGTAATGTAATCTATAATAATAATAAATAAATAAATAACTTTAAAAAAATTAATAGAAGTTTAACCCACAGGAGAGAGGAAGAGAATTCAAATAAGAATAGCCCAGTTTAGTCTTCAAATCAGAACCATATGATATCCATTATTTTTCTATGTCATGATTTTTCTCTATTAACAATTCACTTATCTTTCCCAACCGAAAAAGAAATTTACTTTCTGATTAAATTTTCTTCAAGACACTCAAGTTCCACCTTCCAAGAAAATGAATTTTCAAGAGCATCGCTGATCACAAAAGGTTCTGCTTAATCCAACTCTATGATTATACTTTAAAATATCAAACAAAAAAAAAAGAGGAAAAAAGGGGGGAGGGATTGAGTATATTGACACAACATACCGCATGGAGATCCACAATGAAAAAGAGAGTATCATGCGTATTCTGCAAAGCCAAAATCAAATCGTAAATTGATACATTTATACATCTCAACCCATATTATGATCTAGTTGATTCACCTATGGAAGTACCTGAAGTGAAATCCAATTTTTAATTGCACCAAGATAATTTCCCAGGTGGATAGATCCTGTAGGCTGGACTCCAGACACAATCCTCTTCCTGTAAAAGTAATACGTAAATTTAAAAAAAAAAAAAAAAAGGGTACAAAATTGACCTCAAACAGTTAAACAGATTCTTGAAGCACGAAGCAAAACAATCTCATTCTTAACTTTCAACTACATTCTGGTTTCCATATAAACTAAAAATGAAAAACGCTAGAAATAACACGTAGTCGCTTCAATATTCATACAAATTTAATGTCAATTTTCAAATTAGAGATAAGTATTGAAACTATACGAGAAAATAGAGACATTTGAACAGCATAAATCAAGAAAATTACTTGAGCAAAACAGTGAGAAATTTTCAATCACCAAGGCTCCAATAATCGCGAACAAAAATAAAAAGAAGCTCAAAAGAGTAAAAATCAAGCAATGGCGGAAGATTACCTTACGGAGCTTGAGGAAGTTTCTTCAATGGCGGGTTCGGTGACCGAAACGCTGCAAACGCATCGAAAACGGGCGCAATTGCGTCCACCGCCGAGAAGCTGGCGCTGAGGAACCGAAGCAGGTCCTTTGAAGTGCTTACTCCGATATCCACCGAGCGACCTAATCGAAAATCAGCACGGAAAATGTGAGACATTTTTGCGCTTCTGAAATTGCCGAACGAGAAAGGAAGGAAGACATTGCGGTGGAGAGAGAGAGTACAGAGAGGAGACGAGGCGAGGAGAAGAGGTGGAGAGATTGAGAAAGTGGGCGAAAACGGATCGACCCATCTTTGCTTGGGAGTTGTTTGTTTGTCGTTGAATAATGCTCTTGATTGGGTTTAGCGGCAAAAGGGAAGGACGAATTTATCCGCCAATGTCAAAGATCAGATGAGGAGGTGGTTTGCCAGTTCTACCCTGACCTATGTAGGTCCGCAAACGGGGTACGAATATTATTTATTTATTTTATTATTAAAAAGAAGGTAAAGAATGCGTTATTTACATAAGTAACCTCAAATATATTTAGGCCTCGTTCGTTTCGTTTCGCTGTTTCGAGTTTAGAATTCGAGTTTTACTACAGTAAAAAACTCTCATAAATAATCACATCTAACTTTTTTACTACAGTAAAAAGCTCTCACATACAATCACATTTCAACTCGAATTCTAAACTCGAATCAGCGAAACGAACGAGGCCTTATTTATCTCGCTTTACTCTGAAATTTTTATTTTTAGACCATAGAGAAACTTCCTACTTTTGCTACTATAGTAACAAAATGGAGTATGTATTGTCACAAAATACTCCTCAAACTTTAATTTTTAACATTCTATTAAGTTGTTGACAGAAAATGACACGTGAAGTGCACGTGATGACAATTTTAAATGCATCTCAATAAAAAAAAATAGTAATAGATAAGATATTTAGATCTTCTGAAGGCATTATCACAAATACTCTAAATTTCAAAACTCTTATAAATTTTTCCTTGTGTTAGATTGTTGATGGAAAATGAGGTGTTTATATTTTTTTAGGGGTTTGAACACCCATTTTTCCTTCCAATTTTTATATTAATAGAGCAAAATCCTAAATTGGGGGTTGCAAAAAAACAGGAGGGTGGAGGGGATGTCTATAACATACATTGGAAGGATGCAATAAATTTTGGCATGAGTGAACGATCTTTAGAGAAATTAAAATCCCTAATCATTATTAGCATTAATTTCGATTTATTATCGTAATATATGGGTGAACATACCTATATATAAATGATTTTTCATAATGCCCTCTTAGACCATGAAAACTTCCTACTTCCGCTACTTTTATGTTTAAAGCTAGTTTGACTTAAAATGTAGATAATAATTTTCTAATTTTTAAAGAAAATAAGCAAAAAATTTTAATGAATTTTAAAAAATAATAATGTCTCGTTTCACTTCCATGTGACTTCAAGAAAAGTAACAGAGTAATTGTTGTATAAATTGTTCAGCGACATTCATTATTTATGTGTATTATTTTTCTTAAAAATCTTAACATAAAGAGTTTTTTTATTAATATTTTATAAATTATGAGGAACGAACTTTACATTTTAGAGGTAGGAGCAAATTGTTATAAGGAATATAATTGAGGGACAATTTGTAATTAATTCTAATCTTAAGAGTAACTTTGTAATTGAACATTCAATACCCCAATTTTTATTGCGCGCCGGTGTCATTTTCATCAATAGGATAAATTTTTAAGAATTTTATTGTTCAAGGGAGGTGATTCTATAAATTGAAGTTTGAGAGTATGTTGTGACAAAATTTATAGGCTATACTCAAACTCAAATTATAATTATGTTATAGCTCTCACAAATGATATATTCATTTACACAATTCAAGTTATGGTTTGAGTTGTGTGTGTGAGAAAAAAATATTATAACAAAACAGTTAAATTTAAAATTTTTATGAGAGAAAATATTATAACAATACGATTTAAGTCATGAAATGAACAAAATAAAAGAATTTAAATTTTAAAATTTCATCTCTCATAAAATTCTAATTAATGAATTTAAATCATGATATACATTTCAAACGGGCCTTTATAATTTAAGGGAAACACGTATGAAATATTTATTTTAAGGGTTCGTCTCTAATTTTGAATTATAATTTTTAATTTTTTACGATATTTTTATCTTATAAAAAATTTAAATTTTAAAAATTATAATTATAAATTATAATTCCGAACTAACCACACGTCTCAGTAAGAGAGAGAGAGTGATCTGTTCCCCGTGGCCATGGCTAAACCTTAAGATTCGCAAACGCAACACCAGATTTCAACTGCAAAACCCTAGCAAAGCCAAAAATCGCGAGGAAGACGGAGTCAGGGACGGTAGAAATGGACGATGACAGAATAAGCGAGAGAGAGAGGCTCCAGATCGATTTTTTACGGTATTTTTATCTTATAAAAAATTTAAATTTTAAAAATTATAATTATGAATTATAATTCCGAACTAACCACACGTTCAGTAAGAGAGAGAGAGTGATCTGTTCCCCGTGGCCATGGCTAAACCTTAAGATTCGCAAACGCAACACCAGATTTCAACTGCAAAACCCTAGCAAAGCCAAAAATCGCGAGGAAGACGGAGTCAGGGACGGTAGAAATGGACGATGACAGAATAAGCGAGAGAGAGAGGCTCCAGATCGAGCAGATTATGGAGCTCGATCTCGAGGAGTTGTTGGTCGAAGAGGTCGACGACCTTCACGAATCCGACGACGACGGCGATCGTCGCGCCAAGTAATTATCATCTTCCTCTTTGATTTTCTGCTTTTAATTCCGAAATTTCACTACTGTTACTCGCCGGACGATCATCGTCCTCCTTTGATTCGATGCAATTTCCAACCCTTATTCTTGTGCTTCACAAGCTAGGGTTGCGGAAAATTTTTTGTGACATAGAGAACTTTGCTTTTATCAATTGAAATATGCTTATTGTTTTGAGATTTTTGTCGGTCGTGTATATAAGGTTTAATTAAGCTAATTTATACTGTACATTTGAAAGAAATCGAGGCTCTAATTAGTGTGCTTCAATTATATGTATGTGATTCATTGTACTATAAGGGTTAAATAAACGTATCAATACAAATTTGCTTATTGTCTGATATTTCGAAAAATATGCTTTTTGTGTGTGTGTGTGTGTGTGTGTGTGTGATTTATTATGGCTTAATTGGTTGTCATGGGTTATAACACGTTATGTGCATTCTGTTGAGAATGGAAGTGGGCGTGGATATGATGGTGCTGGTACATCTGGTGCATTTAACTTCAACACCTGTTTGGCCTCATTACACACGTATCTTGGTGGTAAGAATTTCGTGTATAATGGAGTTTTTCTTAATGTTTCTCTCCATAAAGACCGTTGAGTTTGGGAGATTTTACATTTTTACTTGCGAACGAACAGAAGTGGAAGACACCCATCATAGAGTTTCCTTTCTGGAAGGTGGTGCTATCTTGGACCTTCCAATTTTCTACCTGGAAGGTGCTAATTCCTATCTTTATAGGCTTCATTTCTGTATTTGGCTTCTACTTTTCCTTGCATCTGGATAGTGATAAAATGTGCGAACAGTTATTTCGATATTTTTGAATGAGTGAAATGATGGATGTGTATTCATCACCAGATTTTGGTGAGCTCTGAGAAAGAGTGTTTTTAGGTCTACGCACTGCATCTTAGTACATTAAGAGTAGCTTCAATCTTACAATTATTGGCGCTCAATTACCATGTTAAATAGTTTTCTAACTTTTTTTGTGTTATATTCAGGTGTTGTTCTTTTCCCAGAGGCGACCCTTCCTCTCAGAGTTCTTGAGGCTAATTTCATAGCTGCTGTTGAGAGAGCATTGACCCAGGTTGATGTGCCATGTACGGTTGGCGTGGTACGGAAACTCTCTAAAGAGCTGGTCCCTTGACTATTCTAACAATGAAATTTCATTATCTACTTCTCCATCTTCTGATTTTCTCTGAAACTTTAAATTTGGATACTTGGCCAGGTTCGAGCTCACAGGAATGCTGCCAATGGAAGAATAAAGTTTGCAACTGTTGGAACCACTGCAGAGGTCAGTCACCGTGTCCTGTTGCTCATTGTGCTCTATATTTTGTGGTCTATGGGGAATGCTCCAACCTATTGAGATGAAGTTCTTTTTGCATTCTCAAGGGTGGAGATGTGTCTAGATCAATTAGCACGCAGTCAAACAAACCACTATATTCATCAACTTGTTGACCAGTCATAAGTTACGCTGTCATGGGAACACACTTTATTGTCAAATTATGCATTAGTGGCTGAGTAGTTTTAAAGATTATGATCATTTTGTCAGCTATTCCAATTTCAAATTTGTTTCTGAATCAAATATAAAATTAGGCATGTTGGGCACTAAATACAAAGGGGGTTTGAAATTTATTGGTAAATAGATTCTGATTTGACGTCCATCTCGAGTAATCTTGATAACTAGAAACGTGAAGTATTATTTATGTTTGATTTTAGAGTTGTTGGTGCCTATTCCAATAGTCCATGCACCTTCATGCTTGCCTCACAACTGTTAGAAATGGTACTGAAACTGTAAATATTAGACATATTGCCTCTATGTTCTTTTGTTATTTGGGTTTTCAAGTTAATCCTTTGTCAAATTTTGATATGCACAATTGCATATTTCAGATTCGACAATATGGGAGATTAGAGGATGGTTCATTGAATGTTGTCACTCGTGGCCAACAGCGATTTCGTTTGAGGCGTCATTGGATTGATGCAGAAGGAGTGGTTAGAATTATTTTTTTTGTTGGAGTTACTCTTTATGTATTCTTTTATATTCTTTTTCATATCACGAGAGGCTGATATGATGTTTGAATACCCTGTTTCATAGCCGTTTGGTGAAATCCAAATTATCCAAGAAGATTTACCATTAAGGACTCCACGGGATGCATGTGGGAATCTAGCACCATATGGTAGTCTTCACGACCGCAGTCTCCCATATATGCTGCTGCCTTCAAATGAGTGTTGTGCTAAAGCGAGTGGATCTAAGGATGCGGACAATGATTCAGAGGCAAATTCAGATGAAAGCTTTGAGGGTTCCCTTTCTTTAACAGAAAGGAGAGCTCACCAGTTTGCAATCACTTCTTGTCCACAGTATAATACAAGAGATGAATCAGCTAGCAGTGATGAGGAGAAATCAGAAGTCCAATTTCAAAGATCTCATCATGACTCTGATTCTACAGGGTCATTACATTCAGAACCTGAGAATGAAGATGCCGGCTTGGAAAACAGTTCCATGTCAAAAATCGGTTCATGCAAAGGGAAACGGCGGATTAACTATTGGGGAAATAGCAATGTTAACCACTTGCGGAGAGTTCCAAAAGCATTTTGGCCCTTTTGGGTGTATCGCATGTATGATTCTTATTGTCTCGCTCAAAGGGCTGCAGGTACTTTGACTTTGCTTTTCTCCATCGCTTGATAGGTTCAATTACTTAAGTTTAAACTCAAGATCTTGTTATGTCATATAATTGAACTGTCTTAGGCTAATTATAATATTTCTTCATGGTACCTTCCTCTACTTCTCTAACTACGCTTTTGCCTCTACTTAAATATGAATCTCTCTTTATTTGATGGTAATAATATGCATATTCAGAATGGAATTATAAATTAGAATTTGACGAGGAAGTTATCACGTTGAAATTATAGATCTTTAAGCTGAAGTTCTTGACCGTATCTGGCATGCTCAAATCATTGTGTTTTTCCCACTGGTGAGCATGTAATGTGTTGGAGCTATTTGCATTTTCATCCCTGGGATGATATTAAAATGGTTCCATATATATACTATGCAGACTTGTGGAAACAGATAGTTGGAGCACCAAGCATGGAAGCTCTGGTGAAGAAGCCTGATCTTTTATCATTTTACATGGCCAGTAAAATTCCTGTATCTGAATCTACAAGGCAGGAGCTTCTGGAGATTGATGGCATTTCATATAGGTTACGCAGGGAAATTGAGCTGCTTGAGAGTGTTGATCGTATCCGATGTAGAAATTGTCAAGTAATATATGGTCTCATCTAATATTCTGCCTGTTTGCATGTGAAATGCATTATACATGAATGCTGCTTTGACAGATGTACACTTATGTATGCTTGCTATGAGTATATTTTATTTGTGATGCAGACTGTACTTGCAAGACGAAGCGATATGCTGGTGATGTCTAGTGATGGTCCACTTGGTGCTTACGTGAATGCGCACGGTTTTGTTCATGAGGTCATGACTCTCTATAGAGCAACTGGCTTGGCACTTACAGGGCCGGCAGTGAAAGAATACAGTTGGTTTCCTGGGTATGGACCTTTTTCTCCTTACAGAAACTCAGATGAATTGCGACTAGTTAATGATTATGTGGGTAGTTTCATGAAAAGTTTAACATAGCCTGCTGCCAATTTCTGTCAATATTGCTTGAGAATTAATGTCTATTTATTCTGACGTGACTTCAGAGTTTGAAATCACAAGTTGCTGATGTTGTTCCCTTTTTTTTTTTTTCAGGTATGCATGGACAATAACTAACTGTGCTACTTGTGAAACTGGGATGGGGTGGCTCTTTACTGCCACAAATAAGAAGCTGAAGCCTAGATTGTTTTGGGGGATTCGGACTTCCCAAGTTTCTGATAATACACAATAACACCTGTAATCCCCGGTTGCTTCCTGGAGTATCCCGATCTTTTGTATTGAGTTTCTGTGTATAACTGCTTTAGCATCATACATTTGACAAATGCATGACATTGCCAGCATGTATGTGTAGCTTTTAAGGCCACAACATCTCCGCCTAAACTCATAGCTAGCAGAATTTTTAACTCACCAAGACTTAAAATCTGGCAGAGCAAAAGCAAACTCGGGAGAATTACCTCCATTATTACAAACAAAACACTAAAATTACGTTGCGGACATGTTGATGCCTCATTAAATCTGGCAGAGCAACTAAAGCAGAAAGCACAACCGCAACAAGTATTCAAAGAAAATACAATCGATAAGAGGACCATCAGGGTAAGAAGAACTCTTCGAGGGGCAAACAGTGAGACCGATAAGATGCCTTTCAAAGAGCAGAACATGAAACACACGCACCTCCACTGTCAACGTTTGAAACCGACACCTCTACCTTCAAAGGAAGCTGACAACTGTTTGGAAGAAAACCTCAAAAGAGGACAACCACCAGACGGTGAATGTGTTAGAAAATGCCTTCAAGTCGTCTAAAGTCCATCCTCCAAACGAAAGCCACCTCGCCAAACATATCCACCCAGCAAAACACAGCCACTGCCATCGAAAAGCCACAACTGTATGAGCTCCGTAACTGATTTTTAGGACCGGAGGTCAAACGACATATTCGGAGTGATCTCGGAACTCTTGCTAACTCATTCTCTCATTTTCTCTCTTTGTTGTTTTCTAGAATAGTATTCGAACTAGCTTGCAAATCACAATTCTTGCAAAGCAAGGAAAATCAATGGAGCAAATCTAATATTGCAATCACAGTCATAAAGCTTCAAATGAGCAATAAAAAATGGTTTAAAAATCCTCATACACGAAATAAACTTAATAAAAGATATCTAGAAATTTGTAATATTTAAGCCATTTTGTTAAACCATTTATGGTAAATAGCATAATTACCGGCTGTGAAAATAAATAGCATATTTTAAAATTTTAGTGTGTTGTGTTCTAATTTTATCCTCATGTTCTTTCTCCCTTGAAATTTTAAATTATTTATATTTTGACCCCTTAATTTTTTTTAAAAATTATATTTGACTTCTTAACTTTTTAAAAATTATATTTTGACCACAATTTTTAAAAATTTATATTTTGATCCTTTCATTTTTAAAAATTATATTTAGATCCATTATAAAAATTTTGCATTTAAATGAATCATTTACCAGATAAATCCATAATTTAAATGTTATTCTTGTGATCTTTTATTAACAAACCAATAATTTAGTTTATTTGGTAAGTAATGAATTTACTTGGTAAATGACGCATTTATCAACTAAAGAAATGGTAAATAATGAATTTATCAGGTAAATGCTTCATTTACCGAATAAAAGTACAGTAAATAATGAATTCACTAGGTAAATGCTTCAATTACAATCTAAAAAAAAAAAAAAACAAATGTGATTTTGGTGAATACAAAATTTGTCATTTATGTATGAGTCTTATTTATTTACCAGTCAATAGTTATACCTTATGTGGTAAATGATGAATTTACTCAGTAAATTCTTTATTTACCAGCCAATAGGGTTTTTTGCAAAGTTTTTTAAAATTTGGGTCAAAAATGTAATTTCTCACAATTATGGGTCAAATTATAATTTGCTAAAAGTTGAGGGATGAATATGTAATTTTCTAAAAATAGAGGAGTCAATTTTTAATTTTAAAAATTTTGGGGTCAAAACATGATTTTTTTTATTCATAGAAAATTATTAGAATCTCAAAACTTTTAGACAATTATATTTGACTCTACTAAATTTTTGTATAATAAATTCTACCATTCTAATAGTTTTGTCATATTCTTGGTATTTACAAAATGGTAAATGCCCATTTACAAAATTATGATATTTACTTCTTATATTTAAACTTTATGCTATTATTTTTACGCTTTTTCCATTGTGAGACTCCCTATAAAATCCCATCAGCAATGTTCAGATCTGGAAAGGGAGTAGTTTTGTGCGCCACGCTATAAATTTTTAATATGAACCTACGCAAATATGACCGTTGAAAACTTAATCCAACAGTTAAAACATGGTATTCCACTGGTAGATTTTTTTAAGAGGTCTCACCATAGAGACTCCTTTATTTTTATTGAAACCTATATTATCTTATTTCTCTACTTCCCCTAAGATATCCTACTCAAACATATAAATATTAAGTCAAGTTGTCTCTTTAAGCTAAGTCCCACATCCATTATTGGGTAAACATTTTATATTTTATGGGCTTATATATTGTATGAGTCTCATATCGTCTTTTTAAGTTAAGTTCTATATCGATTATTATCATTGTACACGGATCTGAACAACCCTCAGCTTCTTTCCACAACATTGAGAATATTAGGAATGAGTCTTAATTTGACTTCATTAGAGATAAAAATTATGCTATTTACTTCTTATATTTAAACTTTATGCTATTATTTTTACGCTTTTTCCATTGTGAGACTCCCTATAAAATCCCATTAGCAATGTTCAGATCTGGAAAGGGAGTAGTTTTGTGCGCCACGCTATAAATTTTTAATATGAACCTACGCAAATATGACCGTTGAAAACTTAATCCAACAGTTAAAACATGGTATTCCACTGGTAGATTTTTTTAAGAGGTCTCACCATAGAGACTCCTTTATTTTTATTGAAACCTATATTATGTTATTTCTCTACTTCCCCTAAGATATCCTACTCAAACATATAAATATTAAGTCAAGTTGTCTCTTTAAGCTAAGTCCCACATCGATTATTGGGTAAACATTTTATATTTTATGGGCTTATATATTGTATGAGTCTCATATCGTCTCTTTAAGTTAAGTTCTATATCGATTATTATTATTGTACACGGATCTGAACAACCCTCAGCTTCTTTCCACAACATTGAGAATATTAGGAATGAGTCTTAATTTGACTTCATTAGAGATAATTGTAAGCTGAATTCATAAAACCTCTGCTGAACAAATCGAAGAAGTTGGGACGAATCACGATACATCCTTCTCAAGACATTTGAAAAGAGTTCTGGTATGTGAATTTATCATGTTCCTAACTTGTATTCTAATCTACTTTGTTGCCTATGTGTACTTAACAAGGTTTTTTTACTGTTGAACAATAGGATTTGTGGAAGAGAATTTGGTAATGAACATGTCTTTCAGAAAAATAAGGATGGGGTCAACCTTCATGGAGCACCACTTTTTCTAATTTTTTTTTTAATAGAGCTCTCTTAAATGAAGCATGTTTTCACGGAAAATGATATGTCGTTTGTAACTAGTAGACGAATGATATGCCATTTTGCTCTGTAAAATAAATGTCATTTTTACGCTAGTATAAACAACATAGATGACATATTACACTAGAAAACATGTGTTGCTAGTATAAACAACATAGATAACATATTACACTAGAAAACGTATGTTGCAAGCGACCAACATTCAACTATGTTATAAGTGAAGTGTTTATTAAAAAGCACTATAAAAGATACGTAACACATAATTAAATAAATTATCCGAAACTAAAATCAAGATAATTCTAAAATGAAAATAAATACAAATAAAATCAAAACTATTAATAAAAATACTTTTTCTAATACACTTTCCCTAATAGCATGAAAATAAAATCTCAACAGAGATAATGCGAATTTTGTCAAAAAAAAAAAATACACAACAACAGAGACGATGTAATGACCACAAGGTCATAGCAAGAAGGCGGTGCCTTTCTGTTCAGGGCAGGATATTTTGGTAAAATCGTCAGTTCAAACCATTGAGCGGCACGCCAAGAAGAACTGAAAAAACGAACAGTCAACAAAACCCAAGCAAACTTCAAAGAACGAAGAACGCGAAGAAATTTCATCTCTCTCTTGAATTTCTTGAACAGAGCAAGAAGTTTCAGGAGAACGGAGGCGAGCTAACCCTCTTCACTCCATTGAAGAACAATTTCATCGAGATTATCAGAAAAGTTATCGGACAGGTGAATTTTTTCATCCAACTTTTATTTGATCATGGTTTTCATTTTCTTCTTTTTTTCCCCCTAATTTGTTTTCCTCATTGTGATTCTGTTTTTTTCGACATTCCCTGAAGTTGTGTTAACCCTCTTCAGGAGATTCCCGGAAGCGTTCTTAACCCTCTTCTCTCTCTCTCGAATTTCTTGAACAGTTCAAAAAGTTTCAGGAGAACCGAACTAGGCTCACTCCATTGAAGAACAATTTCATCAAGATTCCCCGAAAAGTTATCGGACAGGTGAACTCTTTCATGGTTTTCTTTTTCTTTTTCCCTAATTTGTTTTCTTTGATATGTTCTAGTTGTGGTTTAAATTTTGTTTTAAGATTTTTCTTTATGTTCATGAAACACTAGAATTTTTTTTTTTTTTGAGTTTTGATGATCTTGCAAGAACTTGTCACTGTTATATATACATTTACACACACATAAATGTTGATATTTATATTTATTCAACTAGATAGATCATAGGATACTTATTGTATATCTAGTTCCTGCAGAAAATTTTCAACTAAACACTACTTTCACGCAATCAGCATAGTCTTTCGTTCCTCCAAGATATCTGAGTATTCTTCTTACAGCTTTCCAATGTGAGATAAGTGGAAATTGTATGTATTGACTCACTTTTTCCACACATTGATCATATAGATTAATGAAAGACTACGATTTTAATCCGCTTCATCAATGAATGGTTTTCAATGAATAATTTTGTTATAATTATTCTTTTCTTCAGTGACCCTATAATGGACTACATTGCTCAGCTTCCAGATTCAATTGTTTACCATATCTTAGAGAGGGTGCCTATTGATCAAATGGTGCAAACCTCTACGCTTTCAAAAGCATGGAGGTACAAGTGGGCCGAGAATCCACACATAATTCTCACCACGAGAACATTGCCATTTCTTGATAATGGAAGGATAAAGCGCTTCATAGACAAGTTTTTGCTATTGCACCGTGAAGATATAGCAACATTTTAGCTAGCTCACGAGCATTTGGACTCTGAAGAAGATGTTGACACTTGGCTTCTCCATATTTTGAGGAAAAAAATCAGCAAATTGGTCTTACATATGCACTTTGATGCTGAGTATCTAGTGCCATCCTCACTTTTCAGGTTCAAGTATCTTGTGGAGCTAAATCTGTCCGAATGTGAAGTTCCCGACCCCTCCGAGTCATTCAAAATGCAGTCTCTCAGATTTCTACACTTGCAAAATGTTCTTGTAACTGAAAAAAGCATCAATGCCCTCACTGGAAAAGCATGTCAGAGAGTAGAGGAATTAAAGTTGATCAACGTACACGCGCAGGAAGCTTTGTTGACTCTTATTATCAATCTTCCTAACCTGAAAATTCTTAAGCTTTGAGGCGATTTTCAGGGCCTAATTCTTAAGAACACATCGAGATGAATGGAGGCTGATATCGCTCAGTTGGATGCTCAGCATATGGGCAATACTACCTCAAGCAACTTCACAAACTTATTCTCTCAAATTCCTTCTGTGCAAAAGCTGACAATGCAAAACAACCTTGTGAAGGTAACTTCAAACTGGTCTTTTTTTTCCAGTTTATTTTATGCTTATCTATTAACTTGCTTTTATTTTGAATCAGTTTTTAGGTCAACCTTCTCGGTCAAAGGGGCCTGAGTATAAGTCACTAGAGCATTTGTCATCATTATCCTTGTACACTGATTTGAACAACCCTCAGCTTCTTTCCACAACATTGAGAATATTGGGAATGAGTCGTAATTTAACTTCATTAGAGATAACCGTAAGTTTTTTTCTTTTTCAACATTTTCTTTCTCTATATTCTGTAATATGTGACATTTTAAACCTCTTAAACTTTTTTTTTTAATTCAATTTGTAGACACGCTTAGCATTTGAACAGGACACAAGTTTATGGGAGAACATTGAGGTCATTGTATTTGAGAAATTGGAATTTGTGGAGATGTTCGGGGTTTTGGGGACTAGAGCTGAAGTTGAATTCCTAAAACTTCTGTTGAACAGATCGAAGAAGTTGGGGCGAATTACGATACATCCTTCTCGAGACGTTTGAAAAGAGTTCTGGTATGTTAATTTATCATGTTCCTAACTTGTATTCTAATCTACTTTGTATTCCCGACTTGTATTCTAGTTTAACAGGGTTTTTTTACTGTTGAACAATAGGATTTGTGGAAGAGAATTTGGTAATGAACATGTCTTTTAGAAACATGCATGTACAGTACAGGAGTAAAAGGATGGAGTCAACCTTCATGGAGCACCATTTTTTCTAATTTTTTTTAGTAGAGCTCTGTTAAATGATGTATGTTTTCACGAAAAATGATATGCCGTTTGTAACTAGTAGACGAATGATATGCCATTTTGTTATGTAAAACAAATGTCATTTTTACGCTAGTATAAACAACATAGATGATATATTTTGCACTAGAAAACGTATGTTGCAAGCGATCAACATTCAACTATGTCATAAGTGAAGTATTTGTTCGAAAGATTGTAATGTGTCCCTCAAATTAAATCACACAAATATGGAGTCATTATAAAGCACCACAACGTTTACTGTGGCTGCGAAGGGGGTGCAACGCGTTTAGAAGCGCTGGAGCCCATGGACTGCGCCTATTTGGCGCAGGTTTGAGCAGGACAAGCGCTGCAGCGCTATGCAGCGCAGTCTGGCACAGTTTGCTGCTACTAGATGCGCTGCAACACCTATTTAGGGTGCTGCAACGCCTGCCCGAGCATGCAGGGTCGCTGCAGCGCCTGTTGTGCAGCCCTGAAGGGCTATTTCTCTGTCTTATGCACTGTAGTGGGAAAAAACATCCGCTGCAGTGCCAATACTGTAGAAATCACTATTTTCTTGTGATTTTGAGATCTAAAATGTTTAAATCATTGCATCCATTGGTGATATGTTTTCACACATATTTGAACACCTATTGAATTTTAATGAAAAGGTATATTTATGTGAATGGTTGTGATGTTTGAAGAGGATGTGCTCATTCATGAATAACACCTTTATCTTTATTAGTTCTCCATAAAATTTACAGACTTAATTTATGTTCTTGAACACAATATTATTGTTAGATATTGTGTTCAAGGGTTTATTGTATCTTTGGGGTAATTTGTCATTAAAATTCATTAGCAAACTTTGAGAAGTGAAGGCAAATAAAACCTTAAAGGAAAGTATTCCTATATACATAAAACCCTCTTGTTTTCTGCATTCTTTTTATCCTCTACACTCAAATTCTCCAATAATTTTTAAGGATTTAAGTTGCTGCAATGGAGGTTGAAAAGAATATGACATCTTTCCTCAATCTGAATATCCAACTTGATCGCTTTGATGGTACCAATTTCACCCGCTAGAAGGGAAAGTCGTTCTTCCATCTCACCGTCCTCAAGATCGCCTTCGTACTTGATCCAAAGTTGGAACAACTTCCGGAATCGAAGTAGGATGATTCCGAAGACTTGAAGGCTGCAAGGAAGAAGCGTGAAGATGATGAACTTGATTACTAGAAGGGAAAGTCGTTCTTCCATCTCACCGTCCTCAAGATCGCCTTCGTACTTGATCCAAAGTTGAAACAACTTCCGGAATCGAAGTAGGATGATTACGAAGACTTGAAGGCTGCAAGGAAGAAGCGTGAAGATGATGAACTTGATTTTGATCTACTCTTGAAGAAAGCAAGCAATCTGAGTTCATCGACGTTCTATCTTGGATATCGGAACATTTCCGACTGATCGTGAAGATCTCCTCATCGTGAGGGCACCTTAACAGATTTTCCCTAGTAGGGCATTAAAATTATAAAATGTTAAACTAGAGGGTTTCAAAATGATATTTTCTTTTTTTTTTTTTTTGAATAGAAATCGACATGGAAAGCGCGCATGAATAAATGGCATGAGTGATTTTTCATATATTGTTGATACCAAATTTTATAGGATTAGAGCTTTTGATTAAGATTTTTTCCTTTTTTTAATCAAAATAGAAAATGTTGATAAACTTAGTTTTAAAAATAAATTTGGTTAATAATAACTAAACAAATATACTACTTAACGACTTGTGTACAAGTTACATGTCAATACTCAAAAAGAAAAAGAACATTGTTATCAGTTGGAGGGTCTCGTATTTCTAATTTCAAAGGACTAACTACTAAAATTAAAAGATCATATAGCACATTGCTATTGAGTGAGAAGTTTAGATTCCAACAGTGGAAAAAAGCTTTGAAATAATACGAAAACTAAAAGTATAGTTTTTTATATGAGTAAAACACATAGTTTAAAAACCTAATATCTCAGTTTTGATTTGTCAGCTTTAGGGAGGGTTTGTGTAGTGACTAAGAAAATCTCAAAATTTTAATAATGTAATTCATGTATTTGAGTCAAGGATTTTCCTAGAAAATCATTATACTATGTACATTTTGTGATTGAAGGATTTATGGAATTAACATCTGCATTCCTAAATTCTGTAGCAGATTTCACGTTAAGTTCACATTTTTTCCGATCAAGTAAATTCGATCGATAAATTCTCACCGTACTTTAAAACGGAAGAATTTCCAGTATAGATACAGTTAGAGAATCTTAATTTTAATAATCTCCCAGCACAGTACAACCTAGCATCCAGAACCCGTATACAGGAGAAAATAACTGTCAGTATGATTTTGGACAGTTTTAATGAGTAACTTAAGGGAATGGACAAAAGTACAAGGGGTAGGTTAGTGTGTGTGATTTGATGAGATGTGATGAGAGAGGTGAATAGGACTAATGATTAGTTTTTTTCTCCTTTTTCTCTTCACTTGGCCGGCCATCCTTAGGAAGTTATATCCAAAAATTTTGGTTATATGTTGAGTATGTTAGAAGGCTACAAGTTAAGGTGATGGGATGGTAGTGGTTGAAGGGGAATTAATGGCAATTTTGACTTCTCCTTTTCTCCTTCCATAACCGGCCAAGATTGGGGAAAATTGAACTTAACGTGAAATCTGCTACAGAATTTAGGAATGCAGATGTTAATTCCATAAATCCTTCAATCACAAAATGTACATAGTATAATGATTTTCCAGGAAAATCCTTGACTTGAATACATGAATTATATTATTAAAATTATGGGATTTTTCTTGGTCACTACAATCTACCCCCCCCCTTAAGAATTTTCGTCCCGAAAATTAGAACAACTCGGGGTAGCTTTTCCTCATATCTTCTTCGCGTTCCCAAGTAGCTTCCTCAATATTGTGATTTCGCCACAAGACTTTAACTAAAGGAATTACTTTATTCCTTAAAGTTTTCTCCTCGCGAGCCAAGATCTGGACTGGTTTCTCTTCGTAGGTGAGGTCCGCGTGCACTTCGACAGGTTCCTGGTGCAACACATGCGACGGATCTGTCACATATTTCTTCAACATCGATACGTGAAAGACGTTGTGTACAGAAGCTAATTCTGGCGGCAATGCTAGTCTATATGCGACTTTTCCAATCCTTTCAAGGATCTCAAAAGGTCCTATATACCTCGGACTGAGCTTCCCTTTCTTGCCGAATCTCATTACCCCTTTCATCGGTGCCACCTTCAGAAAAACTAAGTTTCCTGCCTGAAACTCCAGTGGCCTGCGGCGTTTATCCGCGTAACTCTTCTGGCGACTGTGAGCTGTATCTAACCTCTCTCTGATAAGTCTCACATCCTCTATGGTTCTCCTGATGAAGTCTACTGTTTCAAGGTGCTTCTCCCCTGGTTCGTACCAGTGAATTGGGGACCTGCATCTTCTTCCATATAGAGCTTCGAAAGGTGCCATTCCTATTGACGCGTGATAGCTGTTATTGTAGGAAAACTCTATCAAGGGTAACTTCCTATCCCAGTTTCCCTTGAAGTCCATGACACATGCCCTCAACATATCTTCTAGGGTCACCCTAAGAGGTACTAAAACACAGATTCCCGAAACAGCACAGTTTTTTACTAAAACAGTTTCAGGAAAAACAGCAGCTACGGTTTTCAGCCAAACGAGGCCTTTAGAGGCCGAATTTAAACTTTTACCAAAAATGACAATTTTAGATCTCGATGAGATGAGGAATTGTCGCGAAGAACAAAATTTTGAAATCCGACTTTAAGATACAGTAAAACGTAGATTTCAGAAACTGCACAGTTTTTAACGAGACAAAACTAAAACAGTGTCGGTTTCAACAAAAAGTCATAAAAGAACCCGAGATAGAATTTTAGTAAAATACAATGACATTAAACCTCATTTTAATGAAAGTATTCATAAAGGAATTTTTCAAGGAAAAATGATTTCTTTAAAGAACGTAGAGGTTTACCGAGCGAATTATCCCGACGGGCACCTACGAGCCCAATACGATAGGTCCGTAGAATTTTGAATATTTAATGTGGGTCCAACGCCCACATTAGT